GTTGCATTGGTATAGGCAGCCTGACTAGCCAAAATCTAAAAATATCCTTCTTCCAAGGACCTACTACTAGTTGTGAAAAGTAATATGCCAGCACAGGAGGAGATGAGACTATTAACCCCCCCCCCCCCCCCCCGCACTGAAGTTCTGTGAATGCGGTACAACTACTGATGATTGCCATTTATTCTCCCCCTCATACTGTGAAAAGTGTATTTACCGGCCAACTGATGCACAGATTAAAAGCCATTACCTCAACTTGGCAGGAGTATAAAGGAAAAGTATTCCCAGACAGCACATTCACTCACATTTCAATGCACTTGTCATACCTTATCAAAATATAAAATTATGATGCAAAGTGAAAAGGTAAATAAATTCCATTTTATATAGCACTAAACACATTCAAACATATTCAAATGGATTATGCTAGTGTGCCCACAACAGTCACATCGGATTATTAGTTTAAAATTATACCCAACATATAGGAGCTCATAATAAAAATTAGACTATACTTATGTATATTTCCAGTTGCAGTTCAGCAGCATTTAATATGATAAAACGTTAATTTTTTATTTTAAATTTGAATTTTGGTTGGGTACAGTACTATTGCTTAGTTTTTTGGGTGTTAACATGTGGCAGCCGGTTTCATTTTTATTAATATCGTCATATATTAGTTGAATATTAGGTCCCACTGGGAGCTGATGGGCTCCTCTCAACACTTTCACACACTTTCCAGCTGCTCTCACATGTAAATCACATACAGAGGGTGCAGGCTGTGGTAACAGTGAGTCCCATTAAAATCTTGTGCAGAAATCAACCATGCGTCATCATTTTAAATGCGCTGCTAAATATGCATGCATAACAAATAGCATGATCGGAACACAATGAGCATGTCATCGTGATATTAGTCGCTTGCGACTCAGTATTTGCCTTTGTGGCTTTCAGCAGCCATCTGCACAAATTCTTTTGTGAGGCTTCATAGAACACAGTTCCTGTTTCCTGCTGTGTTTTCACATTTTCTTTTCCAATCCTTCTGCTAATCAGTTTTTACCACAAAATTCTGGGACTCAAAATAACAATTCTTCTTCCTAATATTACTCTGTTTGAAGGTATTTGTCTGTCGCTATCTTACGTCTGCCTGGATGCATAAGACTAGCTCTGAGCTCAATCATCCCCACATAAAGCTGGCACATTCCTTCAGTAGATTTAGTTCATAGTATCATTTTGCTTTTAAGCACAGACTATCTGAATAGAATCTTGGGAAAAGACCACCTTAAACGATGCAATCCCTGTGAAGAATATGGACCCCAGCCAGATGTTTTTGAGGCATGCAACCACATCCCATTCCCATTCCCATTAGCCTGAGCAACTCACATCACTAGCAGAAATGTAATTTATTTTTCTCACAGCATCCTAGATATGGCAAATATCTAAACATGCAGCACAATCTCCATGCTTATGTAATGACATGATGAGGAGGCAAGGACACAATCTTTAGATCTGAGTGCAGACTGAGAACCAGTCAAGGGATTGGGGGAGGGGGGGACTCGACAGGAGAGATATTACCACAGTAATCTACACTGAGAGGGTGAGCTGTAGAGCAAGCTGACCTTGAAGAGTTTAACCTGCCAATCAAAAGAGTGTTTCTCCTCTCTGACAGGCAGTGAGGCAGAAAGCAAAGCCCCAGATATGTCAGCTGGGTCCAGATGTATAAATGATGTGCAGACACAAAAATAATACGTGCACCACTTTTCACACTGAACTAGGTGTGATTTGAAACATCAGAATGTGCTTTGTATTATGTGCATCTTCATGCATGCTTTACACCAGACAGCCTGTAGTTTGATGGCGGACCGGCGGTGGCTGTAAAATGCTAAAACTGCCTAGTTGTTGACAGACAGAAGCTGTATTGGCTAACAAGACAGGCTGCGTACAGACCAATTTCAACCGTGTGTGAAAAGCTCTCTCATTCATTTGGGTGGAGCTGGTCGGTTGATGCAGTTGGGGTACTAATGCAGGGGGGTTCAATCAACAATCATCAAGGATGGCTTGCAATTGTCAAAATGAAAGATAAAATAGTTGCCACCATTATAACTTTCCAGTGATGTAAAATCCTTCCTGTGAGTATTACGTAACGTTGTGCTGTGTTTTGCACCTGATAAGCCTTTAAACACATTCATCTGTTCAATTCAGCTCAAACTGGACTGGATCTCACTTCATGCCTCACTGGTACCTTAAACAACAGGCCCTTGCCAACGCAGCTAGAGAGGCTAAAAACAGCAGTACTAGATTTGACAGGTGGGGCTATTTAAAAAAATATAAAGCTGAATGGGTTGCCCATACCAACCATATAAGAAACTCATATCATCAATAAGAAATGAGTCTCTTTCCTCCTTTATTTTGACTTATTTTGAATATTTTGTGTCCAAAGTTGCTTTTCTTTATGGAAATCTATTTCCCTCCTTCTAAAAAATGCAGTTTTTAATACAGGAGAGTGAAAAAATTAAATTTTACACATGATTAAAATAAGCTATTAACACTGCAGCCTCAGACTGTGGGCTAATAAGGCTGCAGTGTTTTAAGCCGACTGTGCAAGGCCACTGCCATTAAATAACAACCTACTGACTTCTATGACTGAATGTGATATACTGCACAAGCTTAACGTCAAAGAGAAACTCTTTGCTCCACAAAAATAGCATACACTATCCTTAATGAAGAAAAGAACTCGCTTTTGCGAGAGAGAAAACCTTGGAGAAAAAAATCATTGACGTCAACTCTCTAAAAGCATCTTTATATCATAAAGCCTTTTTGTGAATGAATGAAGAGGATAATGCTGGATACTCTGTGCTTTGACAAACCATCCATGTGTCTCCTACTACAAAATGAATGCCACTGAAGTGCTTAGCAACTGTTTCCCCAGCATGCCTCGCAACAACCATGCTCCGCTGTGCGGTACATCTACATAAGGTAAATCTCTATGCTCATAGGTCTCCACCAGGCTTACCATCTGCTCTAAGGAAAACGCCTGGTCAAACAGTGAAGATATTTAAAGAGTAAATTTCACTGCCACTGTACAGTATGTCTCTTGGTATCAGCTTAATGTAACTGTTATTTTGCTGCATCCTCCTACTCCCTAAACTTTAAATTGTAACAAAAAAGAGATTACTGGATTTAGCAGGTGGTGAGGAATATAATGTGGTCAAATAAGATGTCAGGCACTTGTATTATTTCAAGACTCAGCACGCTGTCGTTTCATTTCTACTCACTTCCTGAGATCTTGCTCCTGTCTATTTGCCATATGCAGTCTTTCACCCTTTGCTGTCACCCAGAAGCGTTGTTCTGTTGTCCGTAATAAGGTTTTTTTTCTGCGCTGCACTCAGCTTGCTGACAATGTTGAGTGACAGTGAAGTATAAATGTTACAAGGTGCAGAGATTGACACCCGACAGTGGAACGAATATGAAAACATGACTCTCAGTAAAGCTGTAACTTGACACTGAGACTCTTGTTTTATCATTTTGCAGTTCTATTTTTGCAAGAAAAACTCACTTATTGTTCCCATGTGACTCTAACCCTCTATCCACCATCACAACACCCCGCCCGCTGTTCTTCACACTGAAGAATCTGAATTAAGTCTTTGGGTGGAGATATGCTGCACCTTGGTAATATTCAGACTCTGTAGCAGCTGTGGTATTGGTGGAGT